CCTGGTCTGGTGGGAGGTGTCCCTGCCCAGGGCAGGGGGTTGGAACTCCATGATCTTTGAGGTTGCTTCCAACCCAAACCATTCTATGATTTTATAACATCTGTCCAACGGCTTCCCAGAATCCCTCCTCGTCCCTGAAGTCTGTGCCCAGGAAGAGGAGATAAATTTGGCAGCATTCAGAGAGGAAGAAGAGGTAAGAAGAGCTCAGCTTGGAGAGGCACAGAGAAGCAGAGAAAATCTCTGTGGGAGAGATTTGTGGAATCTCTGGCACACGGTACAGCATCATTGCACACACAGGCTCAAGAGCTGCTCCACACACTTTGTAAGATTCTGTCCAAGCAGTTAGGACACAACCACTTAGAAGGTCGCAATGGGAGCCACGTTTTGGCAAAAATAACTCTGCACAGAGAAATCCGGGTTCAAAGATGACGTATTTAACACCAAAGGTGGTCATCTAAGAATCAGAGCGCAGCAAGAGCTTTATCAAAAGCCCGATCCGTGAGATAAAGTTGAAAATAAAGTTGAAAATCTGAAGCTTAGCACTGTCATCACAGAGTGGGAACCTGCAGTAGATAGGAAGACAAGCCTTTATGTGGTGCCTAGGTGGACGAGAGACAAAAGCAGGTCAAACACCAGTTTTTCCATGCTCTTATCTTAGAAAAGAAGCCACACCTTCCTCATAGGGTTTGGTCCCAATGTGCACAGACACTTTACTGCTCAAGACACACATCTCCATTCCAGTTCCCAGCAATTCCCCACTGACCAGGCAGAAGAGTTGCCCAGCACCAACCCTTCCTACCTAACACCCACTCCATGCTGTGGGTCGTACTCGTTTGGGTTTGATGATGTTTAGTGGCTGGAGCTGCCCGGAAGAAAAGGACCTGGGGGTGTTGGACTCCCTGAAAGGAGGGTGTAGAGAGGCAGGGGTTGGCCTCTTCTCCCAAAGGACGAACGACAAGACCAGAGGAAATGGTCTGAAGTTGGGGCAGGGGAGATTTAGATTAGATATTAGGAAGAATTCCTTTACTGAGAGAGTGGTCAGGCCCTGGAACAGCCTGCCCAGGGAGGTGGTGGAGTCACCATCCCTGGAGGGATTTAAGAAACGTACAGACATGGCTCTTCAGGGCATGCTCTAGTGCCCAAGGTTATTGGTTTATGGTGAGGTGTTGAGTGTGGGGTTTAGTTGGTGGGTGCGGTGTTTTTGGTGGGCGTTTGGTGCGGTGTGTTTTGTATTTGTTTGGTGGTTTGGGTTTTTTTTTTTGGTTTTTTGTGGGGTTTTTTTTGTGGTTGGACTCGATGATCTCAGAGGTCCCTTCCAACCACTAAGATTCTGTGATTCTGTGATTCAAGAAGCACTAGTCGTTCCTCAGCACCGGTGGTGTTTCAACACACCCTGGGAAGGTCCTGCAGGGAGCAGGAAGGGGGTCCACGTTCACACTTACCACGAAAGGCCCTATTTTGAAGTCACACGTGGACGGGTCTCTCCCCGAAGCTTTGGTGCACACGGTCTCCCGAATGCTGAAGTGCAGCTCCAGTCTATAAGCATCGCTGTCCCACATGTCAACCTGGTGAAAGGAAGGTCAACGCAACGTATAATTAGTGCCCGTCATTATTCTGTGCTCGTTACGTGGCAACCTTGCTCCTTCTGTCAAGCAGAAGCAAGACACGAGGGTGTCACGGGTCAGCGCCCAATTTAGAGGATTATTATGTGTAAGAAAGGCTGGTTTATTGTGCTTGGGAGTTGCAGATTTGGTAACACCAACACAGAACAGCTTTCCATGGGGGTTCCACTCAAAACCCTCTGGATCTGTGGGATCCTCCTACTGCTCAGGGTCAGTTGAGGGGGGGACTATACTTGTTGACACATTAGGATTTTCTTTTCTCCTTCCCACAACCTAATCAATGTTCTACCTCAAAATGGAAGACTAAAAAAACAGAAAGAAAAAAAACAACCAAAAAACCCACTAAGATTCTGTGATTCTGTGATTCAAGAAGCACTAGTCGTTCCTCAGCACCGGTGGTGTTTCAACACACCCTGGGAAGGTCCTGCAGGGAGCAGGAAGGGGGTCCACGTTCACACTTACCACGAAAGGCCCTATTTTGAAGTCACACGTGGACGGGTCTCTCCCCAAAGCTTTGGTGCACACGGTCTCCCGAATGCTGAAGTGCAGCTCCAGTCTATAAGCATCGCTGTCCCACATGTCAACCTGGTGAAAGGAAGGTCAACGCAACGTATAATTAGTGCCCGTCATTATTCTGTGCTCGTTACGTGGCAACCTTGCTCCTTCTGTCAAGCAGAAGCAAGACACGAGGGTGTCACGGGTCAGCGCCCAATTTAGAGGATTATTATGTGTAAGAAAGGCTGTTTTATTGTGCTTGGGAGTTGCAGATTTGGTAACACCAACACAGAACAGCTTTCCATGGGGGTTCCACTCAAAACCCTCTGGATCTGTGGGATCCTCCTACTGCTCAGGGTCAGTTGAGGGGGGGACTATACTTGTTGACACACTAGGATTTTCTTTTCTCCTTCCCACAACCTAATCAATGTTCTACCTCAAAATGGAAGACTAAAAAAACAGAAAGAAAAAAAACAACCAAAAAACCCAAATCCCCCCCTCCCAACAAACAAGTTGCTTTCAAGTACTACTTTTTTCCAAACTAGATCAACCCAAAAGCCATCTTGTCATTCATTCTTGCAGAATCCATGCCATCTATAGGAACAGAATGGTTCTGGGGATGCTCAGGAACAGGCACGTGCTAACTATAATTAGGAAGCTTTAACTCCTTAACTCTGGGTGTCCAAAACAATTCCTAGCAACGCAAATCAAAACAGATAGGGGTTTCCAGCCTGCATTTAGACACTACCAGATTTAAACCAGAATTTGTGTTTATTTATCAGAGACAGATGACATAAATACAGATTAGAGAAAGAATCCTGAATAGGTTTGTGGTGGCATTTAATTAGCAGTGTGGAAACTCAGCTGAGACCTTCAGATGAATGAGGTTATTTTATGCCCAAAGCAAAGCAGTTACCTGGAGATATTTAAAAGCACCAGTTCTGAACAAAATCTTACAAGGCATCCATTTGTGTTTATTTATCAGAGACAGATGACATAAATACAGATTAGAGAAAGAATCCTGAATAGGTTTGTGGTGGCATTTAATTAGCAGTGTGGAAACTCAGCTGAGACCTTCAGATGAATGAGGTTATTTTATGCCCAAAGCAAAGCAGTTACCTGGAGATATTTAAAAACACCAGTTCTGAACAAAATCTTACAAGATTTGTAAGATTTCTCAAAGAGAAATCTCAAATAGAAATCTCAAAGATTTCTATTCTAGGGATGGACAATTTGAACTCCTGAAGTATTTTCAATTACAAACCAACATACAACGAATATTTAGGTCCCTAAAGGCATAACTTCAGATAATGCCCCAAACCCTCCCTCTTCCAAGCAGCACCAGAAAACTCCAACTAAATCTGTGTTTCCAGGGTTGGGTGAAAAAGAGTTTTCCATCTCAGCAAAGCATATTTCAGGTAAAGGATCTCTGTTGTCTTTGCACTTACTCTTGTGACGTGGCTCCTAACGACACCATACAGGTTTCTCCCCCACGACTGAGAATTGATCCTTGTGATGGAAGCATTGAGAGCCTCTTCTGTGACAGGGGCTTCGTAGTCATACACTTCAAACCCTGAGACAGAGGCACAGGTCCATTACAAGTTAATTATGGTCTTGGACTTCATACTGACAGGGGCTTCGTAGTCATACACTTCAAAGCCTGAGACAGAGGCACAGCTCCATTACAAGTTAATTGTGGTCTTGGACTTCACACAATCACAGAATTCCACGGGGTTGGAAGGGACCTCTGGAGATCATCTAGTCCAACCCCTTCCCAAAGCAGGGCCACCCAGAGCAGGTCCCACAGGAACGTGTCCAGGTGGGTTTGAATGTCTCCAGAGAAGGAGACTCCACCACCTCCCTGGGCAGCCTCTTCAGGGCTCTGCCACCCTCAAAGCAAAGAAGGTCCTCCTCATGTTGAGGTGGAACTTCTTCTATTCGAGTTTGTGCCCATTTCCTCTTGTCCTGTCCCTGGGCACCACTGAAAAAAGACCAACCCCATCCTCTTGACACCCTCCCTTTAAGTATCTCTAAGCATTGATCAGATCCCCCTTCTCCTCCCTAAATCACCATAAGAAAGAGGATGTGGCTCCATTCTGAGAAACTTACCTGAACCCGAGGAAACGGCCAGTGTGAGGATAAAAATTAGGATCATCATAGCGTGCCTTTCAAAATCCTGGTTTTTTTCCCTTTCTAAGCGAGGATTTCCAGTGCATATTCCTCTGTCCTTATATAAATGCAGCCTTGATCCTACAGCTGACCTTCCTGTGTCCAAGCTCTGCTCCAAACATTGTACTTTAAACAGAATTGATCGGAGAGCAAATATTTGCTGCCAGCTTTTCCCCATTTAGCAGTAGTTCTCTGATAAGAGATGGGCTGCGGTGCCTTCTTCCCAGGACTGTGATGAAAAGGGAGCCCTGGGATTCCTGGTATCTCCATGGCCAAAGGAAGAACCTAGTTATTGTGTTCACTTTTAGCCATGAGTTGTCCATGGAAAGCTGGTGAGTGAACTCCTTTCTTAGCCTTGGACCCGGCACCTTTGTGTCTTGGCAGCAACTGACAGCACTTACAAGCTGGTGCCCCCCAAGAACAGGATGATTGCCCACATGGACCTGTCCAATGCCACCACCCTGCAGGCCAAAGCATCCAACAGAAGCCCCCCAGGCACGAGATTTGTCTAACCATGTTCATTTTGAGGATCCCATGGGTGGAATTCCTCCCTTCATCTTCAAATCACAGTTCCATGTGAATTAGGTGGCACAGGATCGTTCTAAGAACTTCCCAAATGAAAAGCACTCAAGGAAAGACATGGAACCATGCAAAGTACCAGGGTTCAGTTTTAATCAGAAAGAGGATGAAGTCTGGAGCATCTCCCCTAGGAGAAGAGGCTGAGGGACTTGAGTCTTTTTAGTCTGGAGAAGGGAAGGCTGAGGGTGGATCTGATCAATGCTTAGAAATACTTCAAGGGTGTCAAGAGGATGGGGCTGGTCTTTTTTCAGTGGTGCCCAGGGACAGGACAAGAGGAAATGGGCACAAACTTGAATAGAAGATGTTCCACCTCAACATGAGGAGGAACTTCTTTGCTGTGAGGGTGGCAGAGCCCTGGCAGAGGCTGCCCAGGGAGGTGGTGGAGTCTCCTTCTCTGGAGACATTCAAACCCCACCTGGGCACCTTCCTGTGGGACCTGTTCTGGGTGGTCCTGCTTCAGCAGGGGGTTGGACTAGATGACACCCAAGGGACGGCTTTGAGAGAGCTGGATGTGGGTGCGCATATTCCGAAAAGGGGTGGGCATTTTTTGCAAGCCAACTTGGATTCCAGCTCTGGGAACACGGTCAAAAATGCTGATTGAGACTTTGTCCAGTTAAAAGCTGGACCCTCTTCCGTACGTCCAGTCTCCTTTTCCACAGCAGCCGAAGAGGCTCTCTCCCAGCTCTCGGACACACTCAGCTCCAGCAGGGTCTGCCCTTCCAGCTTCCCAGTTCTCCTTAACTGCTGCCCATGCCATGGGGAGGCTGGTAATATTCTTCTCTGGCTCCAGCAACACCGGAGACACAACATCTCAGAGGATTTACACTGAGCTGGGGATTCTCACAAACAGTCTGTTACGTTATGCCCAACTTTTCTGCCGCCAGAGCCAAGACCAGGCTCCATAAGATCAAGGAGGAAATCTTCCAGTACACCATTTCACCTGCTTCTTTGGTGGCATTTTTGCAATCATAGAATCATAGAATCATAGAATTGCTCAGGCTGGAAGGGACCTCCAAACCTCGTCGAGCCTCACCTTGAATATCTCCAGGGAAGGGGCCTCAACCACCTCCCTGGGCAACCTGTTCCAGTGCTCCACCACCCTCACAGTGAAGAACCCTCTCCTCATCTCCAGTCTAAATCTGTTCCCCTCCAGTTTGAAGCCATTGCCCCTCGTCCTGTCACTGCAGGCCTTTCTAAACAGGTTCTCCCCAGCCTTCCTGTAGGCTCCCTTCAGGTACTGGAAGGCTGCTATTAGGTCTCCCCGGAGCCTCCTCTTCTCCAGGCTGAACAACCCCAGCTCCCTCAGCCTGTCCTCGGAGCAGAGGTGCTCCAACCCCCTGATCATCCTTGTGGCCCTCCTCTGGACCCTCTCCATCAGGTCCATGTCCTTCTTATATTGAGGGCTCCAGACCTGCACACAAGACTCCAGGTGAGGTCTCACCAGAGCAGAGTAAAGTGGCAGAATCCCCTCTCTGGACCTGCTGGCAACGCAGCTTTTGATGCAGCCCAGGATGGGATTGGCCTTCTGGGCTGCAACTGCCCACTGCCTGCTCATGTCCAGCTTCTCCTCCACCAGCACCCCCAAGTCCCTTTCCTCAGGGCTGCTTTCCAATCCCTCACCCCCCAGTCTGTACTGATGGCGAGGATTGTTCCGGCCCAGGTGCAGAACCTTGCAGCTGCTGTGGTAACGAAAGACAAGAGCGAGAAAGCTCAAACCACATGAAGGGAAAAGAACTTGGCATGCAGCACCCCGAGTCCTGGTGGTGTTTTCTCAGCACGCTTCACCACCAACCTGCCAGAGCAGTTTGGACAACACTTAGCTTTCAGCTTCACCCCTAGAAAAGGAAACATCTGTCTCTTGCATGTGGGTAACGCTTAATATTCCGCCAGAACCTGAATATGTAAAATTTATGCCGAGCCGCAGCGGTGTAGCCAATCCAGGAGTAATTTCAACTCTTCAACTGGGTTTAAAGGTTTTGCTCTTCGAGCAGCTACTGGGAAATGCTGCCAGCGAGACTGGGGCTTGAAAATAAAATTGTTTAAGGAAATGAAGGTTCCTCTGCAGAGCTCTGGCCTTGCTTTGTGGCATCCGGAGAACGGAGATGTTTGCTGTTCCACCTCTCTGAATCCTGGCTCATTAAGTCTGTGATGACCTTGGTAAGTATTTCTCCAAGCTCTCCACAGACACACGATACACCCCAGTGAATTCATGTTACAGTAACATGGGTTTCATTCACTGTCCATGTCACAGGTACGCTTGGGTTGAGGACGTTCAACCTAATGGGCTGGGCACAGACAACAGGAGAATCACAGAATCCCATGGAGTGGGAAGGGACCTCTGGAGATCATCTAGTCCAACCCCCTGCCAAAGCAGGGCCACCCAGAGCAGGTCCCACAGGAACGTGTCCAGGTGGGGTTTGAATGTCTCCAGAGAAGGAGACTCCACCACCTCCCTGGGCAGCCTCTGCCAGGGCCCTGCCACCCTCACAGGAAAGAAGTTCCTCCTCATGTTGAGGTGGAACTTCTTCTATTCAAGTTTGTGCCCATTTCCTCTTGTCCTGTCCCTGGGCACCACTGAAAAAAGACCAGCCCCATCCTCTTGACACTCACCCTTTAAGTATTTATCAGCATTGGTCAGATCCCCCTCAGCCTTCTCTTCTCCAGACTAAAAAGACCCAAGTCCCTCAGCCTCTCCTCATAACAGAGATGCTCCAGGCCCTCCATCATCTTTGTAGCCCTCTGCTGGACCCTCTCCAGCAGAAGGATGGGGTATTTTCCTTCGGGCAGGAGGTTGAAAAGAAACATTCTTGGGAAGCCTCTGCTTTAAGTAGATTTAAGCAGTGGAACCAATTTTATATTTTTCAGACTTAAAGTGCTCTGAGTTCTGGGTTTCTGAGGAAGTCTGAGGTTTTCACTACGTTCTCCCCTCAGCCTCTCCTCATAACAGAGATGCTCCAGGCCCTCCATCATCTTTGTAGCCCTCTGCTGGACCCTCTCCAGCAGAAGGATGGGGTATTTTCCTTCGGGCAGGAGGTTGAAAAGAAACATTCTTGGGAAGCCTCTGCTTTAAGTAGATTTAAGCAGTGGAACCAATTTTATATTTTTCAGACTTAAAGTGCTCTGAGTTCTGGGTTTCTGAGGAAGTCTGAGGTTTTCACTATGTTCTCTCTGCACTGGAGACTGTAACTGAAGCATCGGGTTAGGAAAACTTGTGAAGAGCAACTGGAATTCAACCTGTAATTCAATACTTCACAGAAGGCTTCTGAGGCATCTTCAAAACAGAAAGTTGTTGTTTCATCTATGCTAAGGTAACGACAGGCATGGCCGTGCAGACCAAGGACTTCATGCTCTTGAAAGAGCAGAGCATCATTCCCTTCCTCTAGAGACCAGCTGCTGGCATTTACTGCTAAGGACTCTACCACAAATCATAGAATCATAGAATTGCCCAGGCCTCCAAAGGCCTCCAAAGGCCATCTAGTCCGACCCCCCCGCAGTCAGCAGGGACACCCCCAACTAGACCAGGTTGCCCAGGGCCTCGTCCAGCCTCACCTTGAATATCTCCAGGGATGGGGCCTCAACCACCTCCCTGGGCAACCTGTTCCAGTGCTCCACCACCCTCACAGTGAAGAACCCTCTCCTCATCTCCACTCTAAATCTGTTCCCCTCCAGCGTGAAGCCATTTCCCCTCGTCCTGTCACTGCAGGCCTTTCTAAACAGGCTCT